CTTCTTGTCGAGACAGTACTCTACAAAGGCTTTCCGCACCATGCGGCGCTCGGCTATGCTATAATGCGCGGTATGGAGCGAGAGTGTGTCGATCACTTCATACATCTCATCGTTCTTTAGGAAAGCCATGCATATCGCCACCACTGTCTCCGGTTCCAGAGTCACATGTCGTTGCTCCAGATAGCTCGTCACTTCTAGTATCTTTTCGTAGTCGGGTCGGACGGAAGTGCAATATCCACGGATAAGCCTATTGAGCGCAGGGATCTCCCTCTCTTTCGAATCAGTGTCTAGATGTCGCATTCCCTGGAAGGAGGCAAACGCCCCATCGAGGTCGTTAGCCCGAAGCCGGTACTCTAGCTGGAGGATGTATGTAGTCATATCCGGCGAGAAACCCAGCTTCTCGGATAGGGAGATGAATCTCTCCGCCATGTATGGGTCGCCCTTATCAATGGCGCATCTGACGAGGCCATTGATAGATCCAATAGTGGGTTGGCCCCTGGCCGAGTTGGAACGGTCCGAAACGACCTTGAACATATGTTCGATCTGGTCGATTCCTTTCCCTAGGAGGAGATATGCATACTGGAAAGAAACATCCCAGTAAGCTTTGGGTTCTTTGAATGCACCCGACTCCAGCCGAGATATGAGATCCTGGTATATCTCCATTGCCCAGTCTCCCTTATCGTTTCGGAGGGAAAACTGGAGCACGTCATAGTATGTTCGGGCCTGTGGGTATGACCCTTCGCGGATTGGCCGAGACCACCATGATTTTGTTTCCTCGAAGTTGTTCTGTTGTGCGAAGAAGCTTGTCATGACTTGGTGTACGCGCGGGTCGTACATTACTCCGGAATCGAGAACTTTATGGGCCAGTTGTCGGAGCTCGTCCTCACGCCCCTCGGCCGCCAAACCACTGGCCACAGGGAGCAAGTTGTGGCTAGGTCCGGAGTCGCTGCTTGTGATTGGACCCGAATCCGGAAGTGTGCTCAAGTATATATCTCTCGCCTCGAGCGCTCTTCCATACTTGGATAGGATAGTTAAAAATGAGTGCACATGTTTTAACTGGCTCTGCGAGTCCTTCAGACGGTAGTTCGACCCTATAGCGTCAGATCTACCAGCCTCGATGCCCAGTTCTCTCCTTCGTATTTCTCGGAATAAGGACCTCGCAAGCTCCAGATGTTGTGTCGTATCATCTCTAGGCTGTCTTTCCAGGCATCGCAAAGCCTGGAAGAGATCTCCAATGGCCAAACCAGCGTTGTCGACGTTGAGGGGCCGGCAGAGGTGATTTAGGACACCCTGGGCACAAGCTGCCTGCGTAGAGTTGACGACGCGCCTGTGTTTGAATTTATACCCGAAGAAGTCCCGCCATGCTTTCGATAGATCTGACAGTGGAGGTGGGCGCAGGTTGTTGTTCTGGGCGGCTCTGTACGTGAGCAGTGTCTCGTAACCGGGCTCAGCTTCGATCTCCTTTAGCACGCGAGGGGGCTTCTGGAGAAGGTTGAAGAGGAACCTCCGCTGCGGTATTCTGCTACCTCGAGGACCGATGGGGTATCTGTGGACGGTCGGTCGGTTGGCAGACGCAAGGCAAGGTCGAGGGTTAGTGGTGGCGACGCTCAATGTAGCGACGCCCCGAACGGCAGGCGGGCGTCGCAACACATGGCGAGTCACCTGCGACCGCATTATTAGAGAAGACAACTATGTGCATGAACTTCTATAGCTCGGTTAGCTCCGACTAACAATCATATCTGGCATAGGATGGGCCAATTACTTACCTGCACATGGCTGGAACGATGTGCGAAGCTATAAGCAATGTGGTTGCACTTTGAATTACCACAGTACCCAAAAATCGTAGGATCGAAGCTCCGGGCGCGTCCGTCATCGAATTGGTGATCCACTCTACAATCAGGAATACTATCAAAAGCGGGCCGTTAACAGCTACAATCAGCTGACAACCAAGTGATTGCAACTGGAGCTCAAAGCAGATACCTCATGGCAAGAGTTGATGGGCATCTTGAAAGCTCCGAGACATGCGATGATTGTTAAACAAGTTATTGAACTATGACTTTTTGATAATCAAGTGCAAATAGCTAATTGTATACGGAACGGTATTGTATAATCGACAGTGAATACACCGATAAGACTTCCGGAAGCAGGCAGGGGTACGGATCAAATAGGTATCATCGCATTCTATGACATGCTATCTAAAAGTCTAGGAGGTACTAAAAGACAAATACACCTGGGTACATGTAATCCCAAGTAATTATATATCCAATACCGTATAGAAAGAACTGCATTTAGTCCCGACTATAGACCTTCCGCCCCCCAACCCAGGTCTCTCTAACCTTGAGCGAGCGCAGCTCCTCAATGTCAGTCTCGTCGAGGGGCTTATCTAGAACGATCCAGTCCGCGTATGCTCCGGGCGCAATAACACCCGTCTTTCCTTCCGTGAAACCACCATAGGCGGGCCCCTCTGTGAAACCCCGGATAGCCTGGTCGAGAGTCAACGCCTCCTCGGGATACCAGCCATCCGGGAAGTCATCGGTGCCTCGGCCAGTATGAGGGCTCCTACGAGTCACGGCGGCGTAGATTCCTTGGAAGGGATCGGAAGGCTCGACGGGGAAGTCACTTCCGAGTATGGGGTTGATGTCGAGAACCGATCGCATGCGGTAGGCCTCCTTAGCCGTACGTTCTTTGCCCAGCCTCTGTTCGGCGTACGCCATGTCCGACGTGGCGTGCGTCGGTTGGATAGACGGAATGATGCCAACAGCGTGCATGCGTGCCTGGTCATCTTGGTGTATAATCTGCGCGTGCTCGATGCGGAAGCGATGGCGGGCCTGACAGTCTGCAAGGGACTCGCAAGGGCAAAGAAGTCTTAGGGCAGCCGTGTGAGCATCTATCGCATAGCGGTTGGCTAGGTCACCGATCGCATGTATATTTACTTGGAACCCCTTGGAGGCCCACGAGACGGCCCGGTAGGTTAATTCGGAGGCATTCACGAGCAAGGAACCTGACAAACCCGGCCGGTCCGCATAATCATCGATCAGAGCACTACCCCAGCTACCAAGGGCACCATCTGGAATAGCAGATGTTAACAATCCTCGAGAAAGTATAAGGGGGTTGGGCGGGGTTAATTTACCTGCAAATAACTTGACGCTTTGTATACTCAAAAAGCCATTTTCGTCGTTAAATCGTTCGACCGGGTTAGGGCAAAACGCGTTTCGGTCGTAATATTCCGCCATGGCGTAAACCCTGACCGTCCAATCCTCAGTTCCCGCCAATTCCTTGTAGAGGTCCAAGTTGCCAGCACTAACACCAGCATCGTGCATCCCCACAAGCCCGTTCTGATTCAGTTGCTTCATCGCGCTCTTCACGTACGCCGCCTTTTTCTTGTTGTCAGGCTTCGGCCACACCGCCAGGACTGCGGCCATGGCATTGTCACAGAAAACACCCATTCCTGGGTTTCTCACTATTTCCCCACCGGGGACATCCGGTAGATCCTCAGGCAGTAAATCTAGGACAGCCTGAGACACCCAAGTGCAATGTACATCCACGCGATCCAGCATGATATACAGATCCTTTAGCTTCTCGTCCGCCGCCAAATCTGCCTATGTAGTACATTAGCTCTCCATGCTCCGAAAAGGAGAGTGGCCGCCGTTCTCCGGTCCCAACACGACAGTTGTAGCAACACTTACAGCAGTCGGCATAGCACCCAGGGCCATCTGATCCCATCCGACGCCCCTGACCCATTCATCTGCGGTACCCGCGCCGGGATGCTCATCTACGTAGCTGTGTACGCGATCCCGGATATCATCCATGGTTTTGGATCCGAAAAGGTCGACTGAATTGAGGAATTCACCATATTGAAGCAAATGTCCATGGCCGTCCCAAAGCCCGGGCATAGCATAGCCGCTGTGGGCCGTCTCGGCGAGTTTGGAGCCGGCGTCCACGGTAAAGACCATGGAGAATGTCCCTGTAGATGACACAGAAAAGCAGTTTACATCCCGGTCCCCCAAGACGTTGGTCCGTACTGCTTGGTAGCAGTGCGTCTCGGCGAAAAGGTAGTCGGCAGCATCTTGACGGAACCTGACAAGGCTACCGAGCCCAATTATGGTGGCTACGGTATATAGCCAAGCCATGTGCACTCTTTACTATAGAGTCGCAATTGCGGAGCTTATGTGTTGGAGGCAGGTGGCAGGTACGATCAAGGTTTTGTGGGATAAGGTGTGTTTGTTGGTCGACACAGATGACGCACAGACCATTCTTATTTAATCATAGGCAAATCTACATCTACAATTACAATCCTATCTCGACATGTTTTATTTTCTCAGCAGAAAAGAAAGTCATTGGGGTCTGCGGACAATCGGGAGATCGTCAGACCGCCTTGCAATGAATGGACTCGGCACCATGATCAAGCCGAACTAGTCTGATAGTAGCACACGACGACTGTGAGCAGTCGCCAATGCGAAATGTGGATGGGGGGTTATGGTGGGACCACTGGACACCCCCGACGGAGTGGTAATAGCTATCGAACATCTATTGTTCCTATGAGAATGACTAGAAGACGAGTCCTCGACCCGAAATCAAGATATGAAACCGAAATCTCTAGATGGTACCCTCTTTGAATAATCTAACCTAGGGTAGACATGCACGTTTATACGAGTTCTCGTACAAGTATGGCCACAACTCCAGGGTAGTCATCGCGGGTTTATTTGCTAGGGTCGCCAGGGGGACGGCCGATATCGCATGATGTCAAAGACCAACGTCCAAGTTCGTGACCGATGCATTATTTTTCGGCAGAGTATTAGGCAATATTTTACGATGCGTTTGCACGGTCTGCTTGTATTTCGGTATAAATACAGCGTGGCACGTTATCGTAGATTTACTTTTGGTTGGAATCTCCTAAAACAGGAATAACTTCATGAGATCTTGTATAGAAACTTCAAGAAATTCATGTCTGTTCAGGTATGACATAGGGGTTGTTTGACGGGCTGACACTAATAACAAATGGCAAGGTGGCCGAGCGGTTATGGCGGTAGACTCAAGTTGTATAACTTTCCTATGGAAAATAGGATTCTACTCTCGAAAGAGGCATGGGTTCGAATCCCATTCTTGTCAACGATTTACTTTTGCACCACACAGCTCCTACTGTGGCAGTGGTCTCCCCTTTTTTTTTTGTTGAACCTTTACCAGGTAATATTAAACCACAATATGCGACTAATAGCACATGTGTAAAGTAGAGAGAATATAATAAATACTAAACAGATGGGTTTCGAAGTGCCGGAAGCATGCAATTCGACTTGATAAGACTATAAAATCCGTGGGAAAAAAGATCCTCCCATCTTGCCACGAGAGGAAGAACCGCTGTGACATGCAGAGTGGGGAGCGGGGGATTTGTTAAGTCGTATTGACAGTCGCCCGGGAATTTTGGCATCGGTGTCTTAAATGGTCACCGAACGAATACTACACGTTGCATATTGATTTCGTATTGCTCGCATCAACTACGCATTGGAGAGAAATAGACGATAGGGGGGTATATTATAAGATCGAATACTTTTATACATAGGGATATAAAAAGGTGCGAGAGTAGGAGGATCATCACCAATTTACCATCAGTTCAGCGCAGCAAGCAACTCAACAACATTAAATCTGATTCTAAAAAGTCATTGTTAAGATCGACTCACCTATTTCTCACTATCTCTCTCCCAAAATGGCCACTCCCAAAGCCGACTTAATCAAACTAGCCGAGACGGATGTCAACAACGCGATAACACCAGAGCAATACGGACCTGTCCTAACCCGCGCCCCCTTCATCTACGTAGACGGGACATTCAACACGCGCGATCTAGGCCTAGTGCCCGAGAGTCCTCTACGCTCGAATTACGTTTTCCGCTCCGGCACGCTCGGACAACTCAGCGATTCCGGCAAAGCCGCGCTCTCGGGAAAACTAGGTGTTAGGAGGGTCTTTGACCTGCGCTCCCCGGAAGAGCGCGAGAAAATGCCGGATCCGGAGATTGACGGAGTCGAGAATACTTGGATCCGGAGCAGTGCGCCGGACTCGAAGCCGGACTTGAACCGGTTCGCTATTGGGGAGGGCGAAGCTGGTTACGAGGACATGTACCTCGAGGTCATTGACGTGTATGCCGAGAGCTGGAAGGCTATCCTTGAGCACGTTAGGGATCGTCCGCAGGATCCTTTCTTGGTGCATTGCACAGGTGAGTGATGAAGGGACCCTGAATCCGTCAAATCCCGACTGGGGCACTCTCTGTTTAAGCGCTGAGGGGGAAGTAAAAAGGAGGAAAAAGCTAATGAATTTCTTCTAGCTGGTCGTGATAGAACCGGCGTCTTCGCCGGAATCTTACTTTCCCTAGCTGGCGCTTCCGACGAAACCATCGCACTGGACTGGCAGCTTTCGCGCATTGGTACCGAACCCGTGCGCGAGATGTTAATCGCGTTTGCTAAAAGGGGTACGGATGCGTCCAGCGTGGATCATCCGGGCTGGCACAACCTCGTCAATCTAAGGACGGCTTGTTGGCATACATTTGTCAAGGGCGTCCAGAGAGAATATGGCGGGTTCGAGAAGTTTGTTTCCGACAAGTTGGGCTTCTCGGCAGACGACATTGTTAAGATCCGGAAGAATTTGACGAGCGCTTGAGTCGCCGCAACAAGGGAATGATTGTTTGGTATCTAACCTACCTAAGCGTAGACTTGTGTCACATAGAGAGCAGAGTGTTCGGCATAGAAGTGCCGTTTGTTGCGGACCTTTAAACAAATCAAGTTTCACAAAACAAAATATTTAGTTATGTAACCACGCCCTCTAGGCAGGAATTGATACTATGCGAATATCAAGCAAGCGTCTACGAAGTACTCGTATCTGTTCTTAGATGGTCCTTGTTTAGGTTATATTATCCTACCTAGTTTACGACAGAGGCATCTTCGAAATGTGATAATTTTAAGCCGAATATCTCTTGCAAAAATCTCATCAACTCCCCGGATCTTGATAAAGAAGCTCTTGGTTTCAGAGCACCAGACCTAGTTACCCGTTACTCAACCAATAATACATTTTACAGTCGTTACAAAACCACCGTCTGGGCTGAGGCACGCTACCTGTTAGATCTAGATCTGCTAAACGAGGGGTGACATCACACCAGCCACACAGCCCCCCACCACCATACCCTCTAGCCCCGCGCTAACCAAGAATGGGGCACTACTCCCTACGTCATCAGGGTCTTGTGGCGCTTGGAATAAAGAGCATCGTAAAGGAAAGTGCCAAACATACCTGTTTCCAACCGTCAAGGGGGGCTTGAAAAGTACTATCAAGGTTCTCACGTGTGACATCTTAACGTACATCATAATGGCCAAGAACCTTGGAAGAAAATACTCGGGGAAATGGATATATAAGACGAGTATAAGCTTCAACATTCCTCGGTTTGAAAAGACCAGAAACATAGAACCTGCTTCCTATCAACAGACAAAACACAAATCAAAGAATACCTACCTCACTACTTCAGTATAATTTGACTACTTGAACCAGACAAAATAACACCTATATCTACCAAAGAACAAAAAAAAGTTATAATCATGCCTCTCTTCGGTCACCGTCATCACCACTCCACCGCCGCCACCACCACCATGGCCCCTCGGCGTCACCACCACCACACAACCCATACCACAACTACCCGTCGTCACCGAGGCGGCGGAGGTGGTCTATTCAGCCGCTCCCAACCCGCAACACATCATCACCGGACAGCGCCAGTCACACAACACCACAAGCGCCACGCGACTTTAGGCGACAAAGTCAGCGGCGCGCTGCTGAGAATCAAAGGCACGTTGACGAACCGGCCGGGCCAGAAGGCCGCCGGCGCGCGCCGCATGCACGGGACTGACGGCCGGGGAAGTCATCGCCACGGCGCCATGATGTCTTCTCGTCGGAAGTACCGCTATTAAAGCGGGGGAACGAACATGAAGACTCTCTTCGACGACGTGCGGGTTAATGACAATTTGATTTGATTAGAGGCTAGAGAAGGAAGAAAGAACATTGGTTTTAACTCTTAATAAAGATGGTGAGACTCGAGGGGGGTGGATGGCGTTTGGGAAAGGGAAGGAAGATTATGACGATTTCATGAGATCACGACGGCAATTGTCGTTATTGCTTCTACTGTAACCTATACTTGTACTTGTATAATTGTTTAATCACTTATGCCCCTGAGTCTCTTGCATCATATGTGTTACTGGATCATAGGTGCAAGACTACGTGTATATAGTCTGAGCGACCACAGTTAATAATTGCGAACATACCGGCCCAAACAGTTGTCTTGGTAATATCGTGAGATGTTTATACTTCGGGCGTCTTGATAGCAATCATTGCGGAGCCCTTGTTAAACTTATTCCTGAAATATTAGGTTTCAAGGTACGTCCAGTACGTTGAGCACCTTGGCGCAAGCTTGACCGTCCTAGCATCCGAGAATTTGGGTCTACCCCAACCGAGCTAGATATCCAAATCATGAGTGCAAGGGTGACGTGACGGGGTAGGAGCCAAGTTTCACGGGTTCTAGATAGACCAGTGTGTGTTTTGGTTTAGGACTTCATTTTCAGGTCTATCTGATATAAGGTCATCTAAGTATATATCTCGGTCCGGTATTATCACTGGCTATTCATTTTTCTCCATGTGGTTCGTAGGTTTGACGCATAATCTATCGGGCAGGGCCGCAGGGGGTTGGACGACGTCCTAGGCCCGAGAAAATCGACGACGACGGCGACCACACCAACAACTTGCAATTTGAACTAATGAAGTACTACAACAAGAGCAGTCAAGAAGCTATGGACGCATTATCGCGGGCAATGAAGGAGTAATAATGGAAATGTGGAATGATGGAAAGCGAAAGTGATGTAAAGATTATAAGAAACCGTTGATTTCTTATATTCGGACGTTAATCCGGGGGGTGACTGGGGGTGGATGCTGCTTTAATTACAGTCCATACCTAAGTACCGTGTGTGATGATTCTGGGGCGCTTCCCCCGGTTAGTTAGCGAACAAGTGCGCAGACCGCCTCCCTAGCCGGTCAATGTCATGCGGGATGAAAAAAACGCTATTGCAGGGAAAATGAACGATATAAGCTTGAACCGGTTTCGGGCCTAGAACGCTCATCAAAAACACATGGTCTAGATCTTTACGGGGCGGAAAGCAACGGGAAGTTCTCTCGTAAGATTCGAAGTGATTAGCTGCATCTGCATCACACATGTGTCCAGGAATCCCCGACTACCTACTCGTAGTATAGCGCCTGGGGTTTTGACACAGACCATTCATCAGTCCTGGATCCCGGTGACGGTGATAGGGTTTCCCGTGGCTTAATTTCCTATAGGTACCGTGTGGATACCTCACTTTCAACTACCGGCAGCATGTAAGATAAACTTAGATGCTTAGAAGTTAGATCTGGTAGAGTAACTGTAACGTAATACCTATCGGATGAGTCGTTTTGTCTGGTCGAACTGTTAGGGATTATGGTACCTGCGTGTTTCCGACAACGCATATTCATCTGGCTAGAACCTTGGGAGATTATCAGCTGGGCGGGGCGGGAGAAATGTCCCGGGGCCAGCTACACATGAGATGTGGATCTTATTATATAGTATGGTGCTTGTGGAGCGGGGATTGACGACAGAGTCTCTCCTTCCCGTACCAACCATGAGTTAACACCACCAGATTGCTGGGAAGCTTCGTTCGTGTCCTGGTAAAGGTATGTGGAATGCGCTTACCCTCGGGCCTCAGGGATGTGACTGAAATAAACTGTTCAAGGCCGAAATCGGGGGCTTCTCCCCCGGTGCTACGGGCACTCATGCAAGGATTCTGGCTTGAGTTGTGATAATGTTACCGTACCGGCAGTATCGTACCGGCAGAATCGTGAACCTCAAGCAGACCAAACCACCCTGGCTGGCGGCTATTTTATGATTGAAGCTCCTTCCTGTCGCCATGTGACGTCCAAAGACTTCATGAACTTACCGCTCAACGTGGGTCTCGCTCAGGGTAACCAACGGACAAGCCGCCGCTTTTACTATGCGACCAAGCGTCAACAAACCTGATGCCCAGCTAGCGGATAGACGGTTGAGCCTCATCAAAAGGAG